AATAGAATCATTCGATCTCGTTCTGTATCCACAATATCAGTACGCGGAAAAAATTAAACGTTAACGTCACGAGCTGCCACAAACATAATTCATTCAATTGTAATATATTTTAAGCATTAACTAAATATTTAAATTACTAAGATAACTATCTAATATGTTTCATTCATTAATACCGATGTGGTTTTTATTCCAATTGCACTGCTCTCTTGTTGATACAATATCATTTCTTTCCGTGTGCGTTTACATCAGCACTGCTTTAGAAAAAAAAAGTATTGCGCCAAATGTTTCAAAGGAAACAGCTACGCTCTGGGAAAAAATAATTGGTTCAAGAGTCAAAAAGTTTATTCGCGTCAAATAATATTTTACGCTGACGTAACACAAAGCCGAAATTGTACAGAAATTAACACATATTGCCAGTCAGGGGGTGAGTGCAATGGAACCACAAAAAAAAAAGAGTATCACGTTTTTTCAGCTAATTTCGCGCCCCGGCTGCGATTTGTTCCCCCGATTGCGCCTGCCCAATCTCGCGGCCGTTCAGCTCCACTCTTTTTTTTTTTCCACCGTTCCATGATCGGGCGCGACGAATAAAACAGAAGTTTTTTTTATCCAGTCGGTTCGAACAAACGCAACCGGTCTAGATCGAGTCCCGGGATCCAATGGGAGCCGTTATTTACGAGCGAGCAGCGACACGACGATGGCATGCTTAAAATTTCTCGTCATAAAACCCCGGGCTGCAGCGCGCTTTAAACGTGTCACTGCAAAAGAGTACGCGTACTGGGGGATGTTTATGGGAACGGGACGCTGCGCGGCCCTTAACGAAACAGATTTTGACGTTCGTGCCTTACAGTCACGTGCTTGTACGTTTAACGAACTCTCCAGCATCGCTAAACTAAAATGTGTCCATCCCGTTTATCGGTGACACAAGAAAAAACTCTGGGAAAAATTTTGACCCTTTTTTGTAGTTAAGCAACTTAACATTTCGGTTCGTGCCTCTTGAGTGAAAATTATCTTTGCGTTACTGAGTATCGTCAGAACTAATTGAGAGAATTGATAAGTATTACTTAAAAGTCTGGAATACAGATAGAATAGCTAATTGCGACTTTTAGTTACGCGGGGTAAAATTTGTAAAAGATTAGAGAGTTACGAATAATCCAAACAATTCGACAATCGTGGACCCCGAAATAGGCTGCCAACTGTCCTCTTCTTTCCAGAGAAGGAGATAGTATTCCGCGTTATCTCTTTGTGACATTTTTTTTGTGACACGATATTTTTTCACGAATTTTAAATAATCTAAATGCAATCGGCATTACAATAAAAAATTCTCGCGAGTACGATTAAAGTCATTCGAATGAAAAACAGTATATTTCGATCCTAGGTTTATTACAAAGTTTCGTTACAGTAATTACCTAGGGTGGTGTACGTGTCACGCATGCGATTCTGCCTTTCCGAGGAAGTGCGTGCAAGTTCCTCGTCGCAAAGAAACGATTTTATGGAGTTAAATTGGCTCGTAACAGGAAATTCTATCGTTTTGCCTCTGGTCGATATTCGCATGAATTACGTGGCGCGACAAAATACTTTGCCACTCGTTTCGTCTTGTCACTTGAAAAATTTTTCAAACAACCGCATTATTACGTACGTTTAAAAAGAGCTTGTTATTATTAGCACGAGTGAACTGTCAATCGTAAAATCAACTAGTCAATAAATTAAATTAAATTTCTGCCAGTCACTTCGATTTTGCCATCGTATTACAATTTACATGAGAAATCGATTTATTCCTCTATATTTGCTGCTGTTATTTCGTCGAAATCTGAGGTTTTTAGAAACAAAGGAAACCGCACGTTGTTTGTGGGCACAAAATAAAAAGTTTTATATTGCACGATTACGAGATGCAAGGTGACGTGCTAAAGCTGCAACGAGGCAAGATGCAAACTGAACGCTGTTATCCGTATCGCTCTCGTTCCGCGGGGGTCCCTTCTTTCCGGCTTTAACATTTCGTGAAACTCACGAACGCGCACTCGACGACATGTAACGAACGCGAGGGAATGAAAGCAACGAGGAGCGACACGTGCTGGAAACGTAGGTTTCTCGGCTCCAGCTGGGAAGAAAGGCGACGAAGAAAGGTCGGGTGGGTGAGCGAGCAACACGCGGGGAAGGGAAAAAGAAAGAAATAAAACGGTAAGCAAGGTCCCGACGAGGAATACGAGGGCGTAAGCGCGTAGGAAGAATGCAGTGGCTCGTCGTATCGTCGAGTTAAGCATAAAAGAGAATGACCGTAACTGCATCGAACGACTTTTCCCGCATTACGAAATTTTAAAAGCAATTTCCGCCGAATTACCCGCGTCGTCGAAATAACTTATAGGCCGTGCCGCCGCGCCGCGAGAATCGTCTTATTTTTTTTTTTCTTTGCGGAGTCTGTGCGCTGGAAATTTATGAACATATTAGCCATATTTCTCGCGTGCGAAAAGACACGAGGGAAAGCGGAAGAAACGAATGTAGAATATAAGAAATGGAGCGAAAAACGCGATAGAATGCGCTCCGTTTTGCGCGGAAAGCGAACGCGAATGCAGGGTTATTTCTTGCTAAGCTTACATTTGATATCGCTCGCAATAACTCCAACGTTACGTCGGGTCTGGAATGAAAATGCAAATGATCGTCGCACGACAACTCTCATAGCTGTCGCCATTTCGCAATTGCTCAAAGAATTCACGAGTGAAAGCAACATTTGGAACACACCCGGTATACGTTTCATACACAATTTTTGATGGAGGAGAGTTGTGTGCGATGAAGCAAAGTTCTTTATTCTCGCACATCCATCTCGAAACGATACAACGATCGATGACAGGGCGGTCTACACTACACGTCAAAACTGCTTTCTACAAATTGATTGTTTCGGTTATTTTTACAACTGGGACGTTTTACGAGACGAGTGACATTTTCTCGTTGCGCCAAAAACGATAGTTATAAACGCCGAAAGTTCTGACACTTTTTTCACATTGTTTTAACCCGCTGTAAACGGTTCTTTTTTTTTTTGGTAGCTACGCGAGGTTAAAAAAACGCTACGGTGTCGGACGAGCGAAAGAGCGGAGGTTGATCTGCGGATAACAGAATTCAAAAAGTTGCGCCAACTTAAGGCACCGCTTTTCATTAAATATATATTGGTAAACTTGGCGTCGGTAGCGTCAATTTGATGGTACTCTAAGTAATTTAGACGCAAATGTGAACTAATTTTGAAAAGAAAAACTGAGCGGAGACTTTCAAACTTGTATAAATAAGATGCGAAACGAGGGTCGATGTCCCTTTGCGAGCTAAATATGTTCTAATATTCCGCGCAGTATATTAGACATTGCGCACGCTCGCAATGTGCTCTGATCAAGTAAGAAGAGTAGTTTTACCCTCGAATACCACCATTGAAGCGGACGTTTCCAGAGAAATATGAATCCGCAGTTAAACCAAGGAAGAGAACATTGTTTCATTAATGGTTAATTGGAATTATAGTCTTTTCTAAGGCGATGGTTAGTCATATTTCTTTGCTGTTCCCTAATTCTAGTCCGTAATGCGATGGGTACACTCGATATACCAATTCAGTTTTTCAACAACGTCTTTACCTCTTTAAACTTGGAAATATTCACAACAATCTTGTATAAAGAATAATCAACTAACCAACGATCGCAAGAGTCTCTTCGCGTTCCTCAAGTTTCCCTTTCGCGGCACGAGCTGTTGTGCACGCGACATAATTGCATTTCATTGAGTTCGACGGCCGGTGTGACGAGGACAGTCTATTTGCAGAAACGTTAACGTTAATGCGTGACGCAACTGCAACCGTGGAGCCGTTTTCGTTCAAGGTTCATCATCTCCAGCGGGATCATCTCACGATTGGTATCGCACGCGGCATACTATTGCAATATAATAAGTGGGAAGGGGACCACGTGACTGTGTCAATTATTACGGCATTATCGCCACGGCGATTACCTCGGTCGTAGTCGCAAACGATAAACGTCGTAGAGATAACCGTCCGCTTAAAACGGGGTGGGGGGAGGATCGTAAAGCGTTTACGCGCGTCGGTTTTTCTCGACGGAGACGTCTCTCAATCGCGAGATAAAAATGTCGCAACAATTGCACAAAGCGGCGCGACGGCAAAAATGGGATTATTATCGCGTTTGAACCGCGACACGAATCGCCCATCGTTCTTCGAGAAACGATCGAAACGTGTTGCCTCGGCGACGAGGGACTCGTTGTCGGGCGTGTGCGTAGAGGCGAGAGATAAACGACGCCATACACGGGGGCAAAGGGGAGAGACCCCCGCGCTGTTACTGTTCTCCGGGAAAAAGAGAGACGCGGTTTTGAGGCCAACGGCACACGATGGCTTACGATGCGAACGCGTTGATACGGCATTACGTCATTTCGACGCGGCGGCGACTGGACGATTCGTCATTTCAACTCGTTGATCGAGTTCACATTCTAGATCTCGTCTCACCGATCGGTCTTGCACCGATTCTTCTAGCTCCTTCGAGAGAGAGAAAAGTCATAAGCGTTCGAGTTTTTCCGCGAGACTCACTTTGTCACTCTTAAACGTTGTTCGATTACCAATGGGATCGAAAATAAAATTCTGTCGCCGGTGCGAATACACGCGGGGAATGTGTCTCCGCGAGACGATATCGCTCGGTGTAACGACTAATTTGCATGTTTACATCACTTCGGGGGTCGTACGTGATTACGTCGTTGGCCAAATTGCCGCGTTTAATAACGGAATTTGCAATATTAATCGCGACACCAGCAATATCCGACGCGACTGTTTTACGTTAATCGTAATCGACACCACGTATGGCGTCAGGCCGAATACGGGGCCTGCTAATTAACGGTGCCATCGTTAACGACATTGAATGCTACAGTGGCGATTCATCTCGCCTGAGTACGTTGTCCGAGAAAGCCGCGCGGATCTCCAGCCGGCTTTCGACTCACGTTGCGATATCGCTCCTTCAGTCCGTAAAAATATCACATACCTGTTCGATCGCTCCACACGGAGTCAGCGAGCAGTCGACGGCAGGAGAGTCGTCTTGGAGAATCCGCAAGCACCGGGACGACGACGGCGACGGCGACGGCGACGACGCGGCAAGTCACGAAGGCTCGCGAGGGCTGGATACACAACTATTCACAACAGATCGGAGCAGCACATTAAACTACAGTGACGCGACACGCAGCGGCCTTACGGCCGTCTGATCTCGAAAGAGAGACGGGAGACACGAGTGAGTTCGCTATCGCTCCGGCTCGAACGCCAAGCAAACGCCTCGGGACGCGGCAACCGACTGACGTGGAGCGCGAGGGCGAGACGGATGCTGCGGCCGGTGTGCGTAGAGAACAGCCTTGCCGCGCGCGCGACACTACTCGCGGCGCTCGCTCCCCTACCACTCAACCCTCTTCATTCTTTCCCCACTACCAACGCTACGGCAGCTATGCCGCAAGCGCCGGTTCTCCCGCGCTCACGTCCAGCTCGTCCTTGCATTCGCGCGACCCACGTTGCAGCGTGTACTTTTGTCTCCGTCTCCGTTAAACGTATCTACGCCACGGGGGATCGCCTCCCTCTCTCTCTTTCTCAATTGCTCTCAGCACTCGCTCTCTCACACCTCCGTGGTATTATACGGGGACGCGATCCGACTCGTTTGCTTTCATTAACTACATTTCGACACTGACAGAATGGAGGCGCCGATAATTGAGAGGGTTGGAAAGTATAGAGAGTATATTAATTATACTTTTTTTTTTCGTCTCCTGTTTTGCACTTTCCGTCCTGCTGCCCGTTCGCTTTCGCGCAACCAATTTTTTTTGTCGGATTATTCCTACGTACTTTGCGCTTTACAACGCAACGGTTTTCCGATGTACGTACCTACGGTCCAAGAGTTTTCAATATGAGATAATTAAAAACCGAACGCTCCCCTAGTTCTGTCTCTAAATGTGAAAATTACTAACGCACTTTTATCGTGAATCTTAATTATTTTAATTATCACGCGGCACTTGAGTTATCTTCGGTTTATTCTTCCATCTTTTTGCGGATATGTGTAACTGACGAAAATATATCGGTCAGAAGATTAAAAATAATGAAACTTAAGAATAACGTGGGACGAAAAGAATTGTTTTTTAATATTAAAGATTTGCAGACACACGTTTAAAATGTTGCTATTACTAATATTCCGAGTGCAGATATCTTTTCTACGCTCTGTATTTTTTTATTTTCCCCTTTTCTGCCCTCGTGATCCGTCCGCTTGGTCTCAAATGAGAAAAGTGGAAGCCAATGCAGCAAAAATAAACGAATGGGCCCCACCGGCTTATATGGCGGCCAAAAGTCTCAGAGGTAAGTGACCGGCTGCACCGAAGTCTCTCTCTCTTTTCTACTTGCACTCGATGTCGGTTCTCCACTCTCCGGCTTACTCTTTCGCGTCGACGAATCCGCGCGTCTCCCGTCCCCTTATCTTTGCCACCCCTCCCCCTGCGAATCCCGCGATGCAGGGATGAGAGTGCGTACGGGCACGTTCCTACGCACGACGCTCCGCAGTTGGCGCGTACGTGATGCATTCGCGCTGCATCGAGTACCGAAGCGTCCGCATTCAGATGCACTCGTCCCCGGAATTTCAATTCGGCCAGCACACGGGCGATCGAGTTGGCGAACCCGGCGCGAGCATAAGCGCGAGAAATTATCGGTTCCGCGAGACAAAACCATCCAAAGAATTTTGTTTCCAATTTTACCATTTAGTCTCCCGATTTTGTCTTTCGCTCTTATTTACAAAATACCATTTTATCCTTTCTGCTTTTAGCAATTTTCGAATATGACGTTTTACCGGTTTAAAATAAATATTTACTGGTTTTGAAACAACATTGCGCGTTAGATTAATATTATTAAAGCAATGTTTATATGATGCAAAAATATATTTCGTTGAAATTACATATTAGAATGTCCATTTAATCACGCTGAGTGTATGCGAAAAAGGGGGAGGATTAATATTTCTCCGTGACTACAAAAATGGTTAAAAAAAATGTCCGGTACATTCTAAAGTTTTACCACATTCTATTTTATAGGTATATCTCTTCTTTTCAAAATTAACTTTCGGTCCTTCCTCTCGAGTTTCTGCCACCGTTGTATATTCTGTGAACAAAGGTTCTGGAAAACCGCCGTACTTTTCGACTTAAAAATTGGCGCGTTTCTTTTATATTCATTATATTTGTTTGCACAAATCCTATGCTTAACACAAAGTATGATATTTAACGCGATCAAACTTTAACGTTTTTCCATCATCTCAAAGCCGATCGGACAGTCAGACTGTAATTTAATCCACAGATTATTCCAAGTTCTTGGAGAAAAGTACTTGCTTCTGCCAGTCGCGGGTGGTCGCGAACGCGCTCGAGAAATGAACGGGAACGAACGTTTCGCACGCGGATTAATTTGGGTCGAAAGGAAACGGAAGTGCATTCTTAGAGTCGTCGGTCCTGCCGTCGTAAAATCTGCGCCCGGTCGCCCATATCGCACGATTTATTTCCCTTGGCGACCGCAATATTCCTACCGCCACGACCGGTGGATTTTAAAGGAACAGTCAGACGAGTTTCCTTCGCGAAACTTTAATTTCTCACGACCTCGCCAAAGTCTCGACAGCGCCGTCTCTTTACGGCGGGATGTGTGCAGTCGTAACCGAAAACTTTTTACAACGCCAATAGCGTACAGTGGAAACCACGTCTGTATTTACGATGAGCCATATTGAGCCCTTAGAGCATAAAAGGACATCCTTTTCAAGTATTTCGTAAATACTTGATATTCTGTAGTCATCGACGACCGGGTCTGAAATTTCGCGTACCGATAGATAAAATTTACAGCTACAACATAGTTCAATTTCAATTTTGTCTACTTTTGATCGGTTTATGCAGGAGCCACCTTAATCAAATTCGTAAGGCTCTACTGTGGTAAAGACAATTTGGAGGAAATAAGAACTAAATTAAAAAAACAAACTTATTAATAAATACGAAAAATACTCATATGTTTAGAATTCACTGGCCATGCGGATTCAACGGATTACGTATCTGCGTTATTGTCATATCGATCGATTTGGTTCATCAGCTTAATATTTCACTGAAACGTTCCATACGAGCGTAATGGTATGGGAAGCACCAAAACGCTTTTCGTACTGAATTTTTTACGGCGGACGGATGAAAACTATCCGAGCAGACGAATAACAAACTAGATATACAACGGCAGAAAACTAATGGATTTTAAAGCGAGCATTTAAATCAAACCATTCATTTATACTTTTATTCGCGTTTATTTATTAAATAACGGCAATTAAAAACACTGCGCATCCACCGCGTGGTGGAAAAAAAAACAGTACGCGCGATATTCGTCAAAAGGTACAATCAGCTGGACCGGCCGAAATGTGGAGTAACTTGGCCCGATCCGGCGTTTGACTGGCGTCGAGATTTATTCGTCTTTTCATCCACGTCAGCCCGTGGAATTAATTTCGTCCGCTGTGACGACTACCACCGTATTTGATCGTTTACCGCCGTAGATCCGCCGTTTACTGTAATCGCCATTAAAATCCGTCTCCATCTCGGCATGGTTCGGCGTGTTTGCTCGAATTAGCATTATTATTTCCCGACGCTTTTTTTCTGTCCCCGCCGTTGACAATTACGGATTACAAGCGATAAATTAAAGCTCGGCTTAATTACGAGCTTGCGTGTCATACCGACTCGCGAGAACGTTGCACGGCATGCGTTAAGGGCGTGGGGAAAGGGCAGAGTACAAAGAGAAGGGTGGAAAAGGGAGGAGGAGGATAAAGCAGCGGCTGCCTACGTTGAAGCGCTGTTTGCACAATTTTTTTTCCTCTCATCTAGCTGGATTAATGCGTAAACCGAGCACCTCATGAAGAAACGGCGGTCCGTGCCGCGTGACAAATAGTCGTCGGACGCGAGTTGATTCGAGTACCGTCCTTTTTTCCCCCCCTTCTCTCCATCCCCCTTTTTTCTCTCGTTTCGCATCGCAACCCTCGCTACTTGGCGCCGCAACGCTTTGGCGAATGCACAAGAGAGAGACGAGATTTCGCGACAGGGAAACAGGCGCTTATTAGCAACGACAGCGGCCAGTCCGGATGCTTATCCGGCTGAAAAATCGCACCTCTCGCGGTTTCCTGTTTTTCATAATTTCCGCCTTGTCACCAATTAAATCTTGGCACTTGCAAAATTGGGTCCGCGCTTTTTACACCGCGCCGCGGCCACACGCCGCTTTTGTTGCACTTACAATTAGAGCGAGATGTACAAGTGGGCTGTGGAGTAAAGGGGAGGAGAGAAAAAAAATATAACCGCGTCAGAAGCGTTTTGCGAAGGAATAGGGAACGTGCGGCTGAAACTCGGCGAGGGCTAATTTCGGTTTTCCACCGAGAGTCCACGCGTGTATATATACGTAATGAGACGACCGCAAATAACGGTCGAGCAGTCCAACTTTGACGGATTTATCGGAACGGAGGATTATTGATATCGCGGATGCGTCTGATGGACGCACGATGTCAAAATTACCGTGACCGCGTGAATCTTTCAGCGGGAGTCATATTCTTCGCGAGTGCGACCGGAACTTGGCTAAATATCATTGGCGGTTAGCGGTATGGATGTGCGCGATAGTCGCATACCGAGTGCATCGACCCCGAGGATAAATCGAGAACGGCGGGATGAGTGGCTGAATAATTTCTGGCTGTCTCGGAGACATTGTTGGCAGCGTGCGCTCGTGAAAAATGCACCGCGAGATTGTCAGATAGTCGTACGCTCGTACCGGTTAAGATAACGCAAAAGGAGGAGAGCTGTCAATCCCCTGCTTGCTTTATTTCGGAAATGGGTTATTCGTGTTATCGATTTCAGCATCTCGGTCATGAATTTAGTTTCCCTTGCATTCGGTATACGTCGGAAAAGGTTCACTTTGTCCGTAATTGACTCGATTCGAGATGGCAATTAATAAAGATGTACAGATAGAAAAACTCTCTCGGCACGAATAACGCACGGGAAAATGCTCAAGTACCTAGAATCGGCTGCATTTCGGTTGATTTTTTT